TAATTTCTTCAAGTTAAGGTTGAGTTTAGCACATGGTAAAGCAACCACAATACATTTCAAGCAAGCATGATAAGAGTATATGCAGCGAAAAGAGTAAAGCATGCAAGTTGCAAGAAAGTAAAGGGATGGGATTGGAGTTTGCAAACGCAATGGAGACACGGAGATTTTTGGCATGGTTCCGATAGGTGGTGCTATCATACGTCCACGTTGATGGAGACTTCAATCCACGAAGGGTAACAGCCGCGCGGGTCCACGGAGGGCTCCACCCATGAAGGGTCCACGAAGAAGCAACCTTGTCTATCCTAGCATGGCCATCGTCCATGAAGGACTTGCCTCACTCGGGTAGATCTTCGCGAAGTAGGCGATCTCCTTGCCTTTACAAACTTCTTGGTTCAACTCCACATCTTGACGGAGGCTCCCAAGCGACACCTAAACAATCTAGGAGACACCACTCTCCAAAAGGTAATAAACAGTGTGTTGATGATGAACTCCTTGCTCTTGTGCTTCAAATGATAGTCTCCCCAACACTCAACTCTCTCTCTCTCTCTCTCTCAGATTTGGCTATGGTGGAAAGATGATTTGAGTGGAAAGCAACTTGGGGAAGGCTAGAGATCAAGATTCTTGTGGTAGGATTGGAATGTCTTGATCTCAACACATGAGTAGGTGGTTCTCTCTCAGAAAATATATGGTGGAAGTGTAGGCACGTTCTGATGGCTCTCTCTCAAATGGAAAAGGGCTGGAGGGGTATATATAGCCTCCACACAAAATCTTACCATTACACACATTCGACTCATCTCGGTGGGACCGAATGGTGAAACTCGGTGGCACTGATCTGTTCAAAAATGTGAATGTTAGGAATCTCGGTGGGAATGCTGGAACAACTTGATGGGACTAATGTGCTAGGGCTTAGGGAAAACATCATCACGATGGCGCCGATTGCATCAACTCCGTGGGACCGAAGTGAAGCAATAAGCAACAAAGAATCTGTCAAGCCAACTCGGTGAGACCTATTGCATAAACTTGATGAGGCCGAAATAAATGCAACAAGTCCCATAGTGCTAGCAAGGCCATCTCAGTGAGATCGAGATTCGTATCGGTGAGACCGAATTGCTAGGGTTTCTGGCTATGGCTATGTCATATGAAAGAATCGGTGGGGCTGAGTTGGAGTTTAGGTTTTTTGACATATTTGGATGGAGAAAGTGGCTGAGGGTTTTGGAGCAATATCACTAAGCATTTGAGCAAGCAAGCCATTTAGCAACACCTCATCCCCTTCTAATAGTATTGGCTTTCCTATAGACTCAATGTGATCTTGGATCACTACAATAAAGATGAAGAGTCTTGAGCTTTTGCCAATATTTGTCCTTAGCATTTTGAAGGGGTTCCACATCCTCTTGTCATTGCCATGCCATTGTTGAACTTGTCTGAAATATAATAGATAGAACCATTAGTCCAACAAGAAATATGTTGACATTAATTACCAAAATCACCCAGGGAGCACTTGTGCTTTCAGGATCTCACAATGATATCAACGTGCTTCAACGCTCTTTGGTGTTTGCAAGTCTTGTCGAAGGCAACTACCCGTCGATGAATGTTAACATCAACGGCCACAACTACAACAAAGGATACCTATCCTCAGTAGACTACTTTTGTGAAGATAATCTCCAACCCCGTAGGAGAGAAGAGGAGGAGATTTGCACAAGAGCAAGAGAGTGCTAGGAAGGATGTGGAGCTTGCCTTTGGTGTTCTACTATCTCGATGGGGCATCGTTTGGTATCCTGCTAGAACTTGGAGCACCAATAAGTTGTGGGAGGTGATGACTGTCTGATACGTCTCCAACGTATCTATAATTTATGAAGTATCCATGCCATGTTTACAACAATTTTATATGGTTTTGTTATGATTTAAATAGAACTAACCCAGACTGACGTTGTTTTCAGCAGAACTACCGTGGTGTTGTTTTTGTGTAGAAATAAAAGTTTTCGGAATTGGACAAAACTTTTTGACAATTTTTCTGGAAGAGAAGAAAAATACATGAGAAAAGAACCACTTGAGGGGCCCCCCTGCTGCCCACAAGGCACCAGGGTGCGCCACCCCCCTGGCGCGCCCTGGTGGCTAGTGGGCCCCCGAGACCCATCTTCTCGTGAAACCAACACCAAAAAATCCTATCTATTTAGAAACCCCCAGAAATAACCCTAGATCGGAAGTTCCACCACTGCAAGCCTCTATAGCCACGAAAAACCAATCTATACCCTGTTCCAGCACACCGCCGAAGGGGGAAATCATCACCAGAGGCCATCTTCGTCATCCCGACGACCACCATGATGAGGAGGGAGTAGTCCACCCTCGGGGCTAAGGGTTTGTACCAGTAGCTATGTGTTTAATCTCTCTCTCTCTCTCTCTCTCTCGTGTTCTTGAGTTGGCACGATCTTGATGTATCACGAGCTTTGTTAATATAGTTGGATCATATGGTGTTTTCCCCTCGCCATCTTGTTGTGATTAATTGAGTTTTCCCTTTGAGATTTTGTTATTATCGGATTGAATACTTTTATGGATTTATGAGCACTTGATGTATGTCTTGCTATGAATACCCGTGGTGACAATGGGGTGTCATATTGATTCACCTGATATATGTTTTGGCACTCAACTCGTAGAATATTCTCGAGGTGACATCGGGGTAATCTATGCATAGGGGTTGATGCACGTTTTCATCTTTGTTTCTCCTGTAGAAATCTTGGGGCACTCTTTGAGGTTCTTTGTGTTGGATTGAGTATTATGAATCTGAAATTGTTTGATGCATATTGTATAATCAAATCATGGATACTCATGGTGACATTGGAGTATCTAGGTGACATTAGAGTTGGTTGATGTGTATCATATGGTGTTATTTTAGTACGAACTCTTAGATAGATCGATCGGAAAGGATAACATGGTGTTATTTTAGTACGAACTCTTGGATAGATCGACCAGAAAGGATAACTTTGTGGTTTCGTGGCCCATCTGGTGAGATTTGGTGGATGGCTCTCCTCCTCTCCTCTCCACCTGCTCTCCCA